CTAACTCAATTTTTGTTTTCCTGAAGTTTGCACGATTTTCCTGAATATCGTAGAATTTTCCCGAAGTAAACAGAGATTCGTAAAAAAAAATCTGTAGATTGAAAAAAAAAATTCTTGGATTTCACAGAATTTTTCTTAAGTTTTCAGATTTTTTTTAAGTTTTCACAATTATTCTGAAGTTTATAGAGTTTTTCTGATGTGCATATAACTTTCCTGAAGTTCACACGGTATTTCTTGAAGTTCACCAAAAACCTTTCTGATTTTCCAAGAATTTTTCTAAGGTTCGGAGTGTTTGTCTGATATTTTCCTGAGGATCGTAGAAATTTCCAGACTTTTTCTGGAGCTCTTAGAGATTTCCTGAAGTTCACAAGATTTTCCTGAAATCCGCAGAATTTTCCTGAAGTTTACAGAGATTTCGTTCGCATAATTTTCCTGAAGTTCACATAGTTTCCTGAAATACGCAGAATGTTCTTCAAATTCGCAACACTTTTCTGAATTCACACAACAAAACTTGGGCGTCATTGCGCAGCTTGAAACGAAACACTTTATTATACTAGCATTCGTACAACAAATCCGGAGAACTTAGAGATTAGGGCGTAATTGCTTTTGTAAACAAACAAGTCATTTGCCGATTTCTCGCGAATTAAAGCTCAATCTAAAAAACTAATAACACAAACAGGTAGAGGATAGGTTCCTCTATCATTTGGTATAGTTTCTTTGCAAGATTGCTTTTTTATTCGCGAGAAATCAGCGATTGACGTGTTTGTTTACAAAATCAATTACGCTCAAATCTCAAAGTTCTCCGGAAATGTTTCGTTTTGAGCTGTACAGTGTGACCTCTGCTCAAAGAAATTCAACAGTGAGTACACTGGAAATTTATAGCATTTCATCACAGTTTACATCCTATTCGTGTACATTCTTTTTTATTGTGGTGAGTCATTAGGCCAAAAGTCATTAAGCTGAATGTCATTAGGTCGAGCGCAATTAGGTCGAATATCATTAGGCGGAATTATCCTGTAATTTCACTTAAGAATAGGATCAACAATCAATACGAAACTAACGATTTTAAATTGGCTCACTACTTGACTAGCCTATTGGTCCCAAGCAAACGATTAATGTACCCCATTCTAGTCGAAATTCTAGTACTACGTAATGTTTGTTTTGATTCGCTATGAAAGTTTGACAGATAAAATGAGGGGTTATTGGTTTTTCTTATGTTTCGAGGGGTGAATCGATTAGCTTGGGATCGAAGAGAGTACCAGAGCTGAGCCAAAAAGTTGAGCACGTTATTTCGGGACCTTCTAGTCTTAGAGTTACCTCTATGATAGGATCACCACACCAAAATTGAGGCAATATCCAGAAAGCGTTCAAAAACTGCTTAAAAAGTAATTTATAACTACTTTAAATCACAAATATATAAATAATATTAAGATCGATCAGCATCAGTATTTCAATATCAATTCAATTGTTTTAAAACAAATTCTTAGGCCTGGAGTTCTAGCTACTTCATTGAATGCAAATCAAGCATTTCCGGTCAAAGGATGCAAAAAAAAACGCAAAGTTCCTTTGGAAAAAATATATATATATGTGTTTTTCACTGAAAATCACTATTTTCCATCCTTCAAATATGTTTACATGAAAATGTTTATTGAAATATGTAGGATCATGTAAACAAATCAGTTTTTTTAATGTTTGCCCCAACTTGAGATATGACCAGTGGAAAATTGAACGTTTCTATGAAATAAACGTTTTTATATGTTGAAACTTACTTAGATAGCATCTTGCAGTATTATAGAAAGATGTGTTTTAGTAATTGAAAAAAAAAACTATCTCAAACATAGCAAAAACATGCAAAAACAGTGGTGGCGGGGGGGGGGGGGGACACCCCTCACCATCCCTCTCCAAAGGGGGAGTTTGGTAAAGAGAGATGAAAAAACCGATTTGTACCTTCCTTAAAAGTTGTCCTAGTTCGCTATTCTAATATCTATATACAATCTTCACACTGCCGTACTCTAACGGAACTATCAACTCTATGCTTTCATCTACTCCATCTATCGTATAAAAATTACCACTACAGTCTGTTATTTGAAATTAGTATCTTCAACTATGTAAATCGTTGACTTCACGTAGAAGTAATACTAAAAACATATAGTCAAAATTTCAAAGGGGTTTCCAAAAAAAAAGCTTCATATCTCAACGAAAATGACAAAATATCAAGTTGGTGTCTTGAGCAAGGTAATTATCATACAAAAAAAGTTAGAATTTTTAAGCAGCGTTCTATCATAGAGGTAACTCTAAGACCAGAAGGTCCCGAAGAAACGTCCGCAACTTTTTGGCTCAGCTCTGGTACTCTCTTCGGTCCCAAGCTAATCGATTCACTCCTCAAAACCGAGGGGGACGACTCTATCTACGATGTAGGAAATATTGTGTTTTGCTGTGGCTAGCTGCGCGTACGCTGAACAGATAGAAAGAAGATTTATCACGATTTTGAAGATTTCCTGCAAAAACATGATGCGTGATGCAAGTAGATGCGAGAAATGAAAGAAGATTTTTCGAAGATTTATTCGCTAGTGTGAGATTTTTTGAGCATCTAGAATTGAGATTTAGATGTGTCGCCCCCTCGCTCAAAACATAGAAAAATCCACTAACTCCTTATTTTATCTGTCAGACTTTCATAGCGAATCAAAACCAACATTGTGTAGTACTAGAATTTCGACTAGCATGGGATACGTTAATCGTTTGCTTGGGACCAATAGGTTAGTCAAGTAGTGAGCCAATTTAAAATCGTTAGTTTCGAATTGATTGTTGCTGGTACCATAGAGGTAACTCTAAAGGCCCACGCACATTAGATCCGGATCGGACGCGTTGCGGCAAAGTGACAGCTAAATCTATTGTCTAACTGTCAAATTTACGTCAACGCAATGCAAACGGATCTAATGTGGGTGGCCCTTAAGACTAGAAGGTCCCGAAATAACGTGCTCAACTTTTTGGCTCAGCTCTGGTACCATAGAGGTAACTCTAAGACCACTGGGTCCCGAAGAAAATCATTATTATTTTTGGCTCACTTAGTACCAGAACAACGGTCCCAAGCAGTCCCAAGCTATTTCACTCACCCCTGCATGTTCTGCATGAATCCACACACCCCTGATGTTATCTGTCAAACTTTCATAGCGAATCAAAACAAACATAGTGTAGTAATAGAATTTCAACTAGAATAGGGTATGTTAATCGTTTGCTTGGGACCAATAGGCTAGTCAAGTAGTGAGCCAATTTGAAATCGTTAGTTTCGTATTGATTGTTGCTGGTACTCTCTTCGGTCCCAAGCTAATCGATTCACCCCTCGAAATATAGGAAAAACCTGGAAAAACCAATAACCCCTCATTTTATCTGTCAAACTTTCATAGCAAATCAAAACAAACATTGCTTAGTACTAGAATTTTGACTAGAATGGGGTACGAATAATCGATTAAAAATTAATCGATTAGCTCGATTAATCGAGCAGTAATCGGACATCACTAGACGTAACTAGAAATACTCAGAGGGAGAGATGGGTGGAGAGAATGTTTTGAGCCAAATGAACTGTCAATATCTGAGCCAATCGAACATTCCAATTAGAATTTTTCCCGAGGATTTCTTATTCTTACTAGAATAAATTTGAGAGTATTGCAATCGAACAGAAAATTCAATCACCCTTAAGTTATGTGTGCTTCTCAGATTCAACTAGTTTTTGGAACCAAAAACAATATTCTAACTCTATTGATTAATTGATCTTCGTTGGTTAATGAATGGCACCAAGAAATGTGCAAAATATTGCGATGCAATCACGCGTTTTTTTTTTTCATCAGTGATGGTGTTGGTGGTTACGTCTAGAAATACTCAGAGGGAGAGATAGACGGAGAAAACAAAATACAATTCGGCAGCAGGGATTTGTTCCTAAATTATCTTGCAACCCTTGCTAGAAGCTAGCATTTCAAATGACTTGTATTTTTGATTCGATTTAGGTGCAAAATAATAATTGATTGCATCGCAATATTTTGCTCATTTCTTGGTGCCATTCGTTAACCGGCGAAGATCAATTGATCAAAAGAGTTAGAATATTGCTTTTGATTCCAAAAACTAGTTGAATTTGAGAAGCACACAAAACATAAAGGTGATTGAATTTCTGTTCGATTGCAATACCATAGAGGTAACTCTAATGGCGGTAAGCTCCAACTCGGATTAACTTTTAATATCGTCCCTGTTTGGATGATGTGCAAAACATTTGCTTAAAGTTGCGTTGATTAGCACTCATGTCGACATCAAAGCAGCCAGACATTCTTGATCGGGATTTAATCCGAGGATAATACCGGTTGGAGCTTACCACCATAAGACTAGAAGGTCCCGAAATAACGTGCTCAACTTTTTGGCTCAGCTCTGGTACCAACCGGTGGAAGCTAACGATTTCTGTTCGATTTCAATACTCTCTAAGACAAATTCTAATTGGAATGTTCGATTGGCTCAGATTATGACGGTTCATTTGGCTCAAAACATTCTCTCCGCCCATCTGTGCCTCTGAGTATTTCTATATTTAATAACTCACAATTTGGGAGCAATCCACCCCAGATCGTTCAAAACTGAACCTACCCAAAAATGTGAGTGACAAGTTGACAAATGAATAACATCGACCTGAATCTGATCGATGTTCCCTAATAACCCGTTACCATACACTCACGGTATCATATAGGGTAAGACCATACAACATAAAGTTGGGATGATATCCTGAATTGGTGGTTAGGTGCTTCTTATGATTATTGTTAATGCGGGTTGTTCTTTTGTCAACTTGTCACTTCCAACTTAGTTTACCATTTTTGGGTAGGTTCAGTTTTAACCGAATTTGGATTCTACCCTCAAGTTTGGGAGTTAAAATAGCGTGTGCTGTAACAAAACCACTTTGCTGAACTATGCAACACGCCGTGAATCGTTCCCAGTCCCTGATAACTGTAAACACGCGAACGCGCTGTCACATTTCTTTAAAACAAAAATCGAGCGACTGTTCGTAGTTTCCATAATTTTAAAAATCAGAACATCCAAATAAAATCATTCAAAATGCCCATTCTGGCAGAGGTAAGTAGTGAAATTCGGCCAACCGAAAGCCCCAAAAGCTAAAACCTATTCCCCGAAACAGCTTGCAGGCGACGAAAACACCGGCGAAAATTCGCGCACGTTTGTCTTCGAAGACGAAGGACATACGCTGGGCAATGTGCTCAAGGCCATCATTTGCAAATAGTAAGTCGTTGATGTATTTAATTTTTCACTTTTGGAAAACGTTGCATTTATAGTCCGGACGTAAACTTCTGCGGCTACACCGTACCGCATCCAGCCGAAAACAAGATGCATTTTCGAATTCAGGCAGCCAGGAATGTTCGTGCGATCGATATACTAAAGCGAGGTCTGGAAGATTTGGAACGGGTTTGTGATCACACGATTGAGACGTTTGAGGAGGCAGTGGCCACGCATCAGTAGGACAGCTAGTTGAGAGTCGGTTTATGGTAATTTGGATGTAAGTTTAATGTATTGTTGAAATAAATACCGTAAGGTAAAAGAAGTAAAGTTTAAAGGAGATTTCGGACGATTGATGACAAGAGTTGGGGGTCATCTATCCACTAGAATGTTTATTGATTATAGAATATGATTAAAGTTGCGCTGTTACGATTAGATAGGTAAGGATAATTTTGAAAAATGCCTCACTGACGGCAAAGTATGATGGGCAAATGTTGCCGAATGCCTTCGAGTTTCACTACATCTATATAGGTACTGCACTGCAAGTTGAACGTTTTTTTTTTCTGGGGCTTCGATGGAGGGTTTCCTTCGATAATGCAAGGATCCCATCAGCGATTGCTACAGTTCGAATTTATAACGGAACTGAACAAATGTGTGTAGCGTACGCACAATGGAAGAGCGACATTTTCGAAGCATCCAAGCTCCACCGATTCGAATAAAGAGTAGATATCGTACTGGTTCGATTACTCACACACATCAAGGTTGATATTTGCATTTGCTATCGCTCATTGGTAGCAAAGGAAGAAATTCGTTTCACTCTTAGGTAAATGTTGCGTATGACTTCCGCGAAGAGAAGTGGCCGTATCCCACGACGAAACGGTTTCTTTCAAAATGTCTATTTGCGCTCGGGTGGCATTTGGAAAATCGTACGAACTCTGGTGTGGGGTTATAATTTCTACTGGGTTATAACATTTTAGCTGATTTGAAATTTTGAAGGGATGATCCAGATGGTAAGGTTATAAAATAAAACACGAATACAACTCAAGAAGATGAAGTAAATGGCAAGTGATGAAAAAAGATACGAGCCCAGATGGTCCTGCAATAAAAAAGAATTGGTCTGGAAATGCTTATTCCGGTGTACCTGCTTCGAGTCGACTCCGATGCGATGGTTGTCGACAGTCCCTCGTTGAGCTCGTTCCACTCGCTGTCTATTTTCAAAAGTCAAAATTCTAAACTTTCGTTGCATAAATTAACGAACAATGCGAACTGTATATGAATGTAAATGAAGATGATTTCTGATGAAAAATGAATCCCTTAGAACTTATGGAATCTAGCTAAAGCGTGGATTAGTGGGGTAGGAAGGACAGATACAGAATTCGTACTCTTTTTGCCCCCGGTTCAATCTCACCCGTTTACATGTTCTGCTTCGGTACGGCGAATTAATACCTCCTTCGGCCACCACCGCCGCCTGAACGTCCACCGAAGCTGGATCGACGGAATCCACCACCACCTCCAGGTCGTCTTCCCGCGTTGCCACCGCCACCGCCGCCTCCTCCTCCATTCTTATTGGAATAGGTTTGCACCTTACCGGAGTATTTACCCGATGGAGGTGTGTAGACCTTCTGTGTACCGGAACTTCCCTTGGATTGTTTAGGGCCCTTGGTATCGTTGGACTTGCCGTTCTCCTCGAAAGTAATTGCCGCATGACGCTTGGCTGTCGTTTTCGAATCCAACTGTAATGAAATGTACATTTTTATAAATCGAATTGTGGTAAACAAATTGAGAAAGGCGCAAACGTACCCCCTTGGATTTCGGTGGCAGCCAGGATAGATGGATGACCGACTTGAAACTGGGTGGGGTATGGAACAAGTCCCGAATCAGAGTGCTGATGTTAGATGTAGTCTTCAGGGCAGTGGCCTTCATTTGATTTTCCTCGGACTTCATTTCTTCCACTGTCTTGCCCTTGACGGCTTCCTGGAGTTTCTTGATGTATCTGAAATCGAAAAGTGACCGGATTAGCCGCTGTCAGGAGAAACCAGCAGAACCAACATACCCTTGTGTACCACGCGCCAAATATTGCAACCTCGAACGGAAGTCCTTCAGCTTGACAGCATCATCCGGGAACGTAAGGAACTCTGTAGCTTGCGTTCCCAAAGTGTGCAGGGCATGCAGAAGACATTCAGCATGTGAGAACTGGAACGACGGTGTCTCGTTCATGTCGGCATCCGCAGGCGGGAGGGGCATGTATTCCTGCAAAGACAATACCCTTGAATTACGGGCTCGCAAACACAGCATTCATGGAAACTCACCAGTAGAACATTGTAGATTGCTTCGACCTTCTCCGCCGGTTTGTCCAACGATCCACAGAAGGCACACATCTCGGCAAACACCTTCAGCAGTCGCAGTTGGGTGGTGTGCTGTTCCTCGCCGGCTCCAATCAGGTTCCAAACGTTGAGCGGCAACAGTTTCTCGCACATAAACTTGATGAACTGGGTCGACTCTACTTGTGACTGTTTTCAAGGACAAAGTTAAAATCATTTAAAAAATTCAATACATTTTTTTTTCAGATTTCGACGTACAGAACTTACAGAGAAATACGGCATAGCTTCGCTAGCGCACTGAATGAACCGCTCAACGGTTTCGTCGTCCGAAGCCAACGCTCCTAGGTCCGCTTCCATGTCGGCCTGCTCGGTGGCAATCGCCACCAGCTCGGCATGACCGGTAACGGTTTTGCTCAGCTTGGTCTGGTTCAGAATGGACATGCACAGATGGAACTCGTCCGCACTTACATCCTGCAAAGCAAATTTCAAAGCTATCACATTCACCTTTCTTGATTGATTATGATAATCATCTTACCAGAAGAATTTTCTTAATTTCAGCGATGACAAAATCTTCCACCTCCTTCGTAATGACCTCCGGTCCGATCTTAATCATTTTGTTCAAAACAAATTGAAAGTTTCGAAAACGTGTCTGCTCATCCCCGGCTACGATCTGACTGAAGATTCCGGTTAGTGTTCCGGTGGCATCGAACTGAAAACATCAAAATCAGATTATTTATATAAAACTTCCAAACAAAAGAAGCTTTTCTACTCTACCTTAGCCAAAGTCAACAAAGATAGGTGCACTTGCTGCAGTTCAGTCACATCTTCCGTGATTAGCAGCTGTGCAAGGATATCGGCTATTTTCGGAGTATGTTCCTTGGTTTCCTTGCACAGCTGAGGCAGATCCTTGATTGCTTGCTTACGAATCTGTTTTCAAACAAAACCAAAAGTTATTCCACAAACTAAAATAAAAGTCCCACCCGCGTCCATACCTGTGCATCTTCATCCTCGCACAGATCCAGCTGCCGATCAATGGCCAGCTCGGATAGCTTCGGAAAGTACTTGAAGAACTTCCCGATAAATTGCGACGCGAGACGCTTTTCTTTAGCGGATCCCTTAACGGCATCTAAAATTTCCCGATACTCCACCTCATGCTACAATAAGAATTGAGAAAAACGTTTATTTTCATTTCACCATGGGATAAACACAACGAACGCCATTAAAAAAAATGCCGCACCATCGACGAAACAATCATCCTCCATCCTTACCTCACCAATCTTGTCCTTGGCGTCAGTTAAGATTTCATAGTTTTTATACAGCTTTTCTATGCTATCGCCACTGGAATCCATCGTGGAACGATCGACGGTGTTGGGTTCTGCAATCGGAAATTAATTTCAAGCACAACAAAGTGGATTTCGACGAGAGAAAACCGAAAAATAAATCACAAACGAACGGTGCACGTTTATATTTTCCGAGAACTTTTTCACGATGATGACGGTTGATGATGGATAATGATTTCTTACCCAAACGTCAAAACGCTTCGCGGAAAGCTGAATAGTCTTTTTCAGAAAAGGGCGAAATTGATCGAGTGGTTTCTGTTTCGGCTATGCACGGTAAGAATTAAATACCAATTTATGGGTAAAATTTTACGAGTTTGGCGAAAGAACAGGAGGCCTACTCAATAATGGGTTATATTTTCACACATTAATTGATAACTGCTACACATAAATGGGTAGCAGTTACTCATTAATGGGTAACAGATACACATTAAGGCCCGCTCTAATATTATGTATCACAAAAAAAAACATTTGAATACCCCCTTGTCATACACTTTTCCTATACCTAATACATGGTGGTTAACACATTTCCAGACAAACCTCACCCCCTCTTGCGTTACGTAATATTTGAATGGACCCTAAAATAAATTAAACCCCTTGTTTGGCAAAATGTGTCAAAGGGTCAGATTTAAATGGGTATTTGATCACCGAAAAACCGACATGAATCATCATACAAATTACTAAGAAATTTCTGATCAAAGCACAAAACTAACATCTGCCGCCGTGTTCGCGTAAGATATGTATCCTAGCCACGAACACGCGTTCAATTTTTATGAGCTGGTTCCTGTCTAATCTATTTCGGACAAATTATTTTTTATCTAGATAAAACATTCACACTTAGAAAATAATACCGAACTCGGTTTAATTTTCTACCGAACCTCTTCGGTTACCAACGAGAAACCGAATAAATGGTTTGAAAACATTTTTTTCAGGCATATTTATCGAAGCAGATCCGAATTTCGGTAAAATAGTATAAATTTGACAGATAGAAATGAAGACTGAACCGAAAAGTTCGGTAAAGTATCGACATTTACGTGAAAACCGAGAATCTCGGTAAACTGAACCGAATTTTCGCTAAAACGTGTTAAACGTCAAACGCTTAAACGCCAAACGTTCCACTTGCGCTCAACTTCACGACGGAATTTTTAACCGAAAACTCTCGGTTCTCTAAACCTAGTCTAAAATTAGTCAGCCATTTTTGGAAAAAGTGCAGTCAAATGGAAAAAGTTCTGCAGCTGTAACAGGAGGATGCACATTTGAATGAAATATTTTGTAAGTATTTGAAACTAACGGTATGATTTTATTTGCAGGCATCTTGTGCTACACACTTAGATTTTTTCGCCGAGTCCGGCAAAAAAAAGTGCCGAGAATCCAACAGCCGAGCCTTCGGCAAACATCTCGGTAAAACATTCAATTACCGTTAGATCGGCAAAGCACAATTTACCACAACAAAGATTTTGATTTTAAGTGTGTAGAAACAAACTATATATACAAACAAAATCTGTCCTCGGTGAAATATATTGCCGTAACAGTTCAGCAAACTGAACATTTGCCGAAGTTTTGTTAAAATAGCTCACTGAAAATCGTATCTGGTTTTAGCCAAATTTCGGTAAAAACAATCATTTACCAAGCTTCGTCAATTGTAATCACTGATCTAAACGGAAAAATTTCAAACTGCCGAAATCAGCAAAATAATATAACGAACTATACGGCATTCACATTTTGCTTAGCCGAAAATACTTAAAATATCGGTCAACGAAGACGGACACATAAATAACTGTCAGGATTAAATTAGGTTAGGTGCGAATGAAAATTTAAAAGTAGTAGCGTCGTAGTTCAGAAAAATCAGTGAGGATGATTGCCCCGGGATGAATCTTCCTCGACGGAAGAAGCAGCACCGACAATCGGAGATCAGATGTCCGATAACGAGTACTACGAAGAGGATGAAGACGACGGTCGAACTACCTTCTACGGAACGCTAGATACGAAGCAATCAGTTTCTAAAATTCCTTGCAGTGGCTGTGGTGCATTGCTGCAATTGAATAAATCCAAGCAGCAGCTAATGACCACTATCTGCGAGAGGTGCCAGAGATGTCAGATTACATCGAGATTATATCCTCTATCAAGGATATGAAGTCACTCGTCCTGTTGATGGTTGGTACCATTTTGACAGACTTCTGTTTAATAAAAAATGTTATTAATTCCTCTAGTAATCCCTTTCAGGTGGATCTCCTCGATCTCCCGTGCTCCATCTGGCCGGGTCTGTCGGAAATTCTTGGACCCAAATGATCGATAATCGTCGTCGCGAACAAAGTCGACCTTCTTCTAAGGGACTGACCCGGCTATCTGAACAACACTCGGAACAACTTTCCTGGATGCTGGCTTCACCAGAAATTACATCAAACACGTGTCGCTCCTCTCGGTCACAACCGGTTACGGAGTAGAACAGTTGATCACTAAAATCCACAACTCTGGGGAACACGGGGTGACATCCATCTGGTCGGATGAATCAACGTTGGCAAGAACTCCCTGTTCAACGGCCTTGTCCGGTCCGATCTTTGCAAAGTCAAAGCAACTGATCTGATCCAACGAGCCACGGGTTGCCCTTGGCTCGAAACGAGTTCAGTCCGAACCGAAGAGGAAAAACTACGCAAGCACCAAGCACCGGATCACCCGAATTTGTCACTCTCATTGGTCACGTTGGTCAAACCTTCGCCGACGATGCACGGTAAGTTCTGATTATTTGTGGCTAGATTGATAGTGTTTTATTTTTCGTGGAATAAAAAAAAAACAATGTTATAAAATTGTATCCTACTATTTTTATTTTCCTTTAAAATCGCAACCGTAATAAAGCAAACAAATAAAAAAAATGAAAAACAGCCAGGATTAACAAAAAAAAAAAAAAAATACCGATAAACGGTAAACAATTTTTCCGAAGGATTGGCAAAATTTGACAGTTGTGGTAAATTGTGCTTTGCCGATCTAACGGTAATTGCATGTTTTACCGAGATGTTTGCCGAAGGCTCGGCTGTTGGATTCTCGGCCCTTTTTTTGCCGGACTCGGCGAAAAAATCTAAGTGTGTACTGCCGCGAAAATGCCCAAAGTTATGTCTCTGGCTTGCAAAGGCATTTTAAAAACCAATTGAATAAGAATGACTTCAAAGTCAGTGATATTGTTTGACTGTACTTTTCCACGCTGTAACTCGCGTTACGGAAGTTTTTATTCGCCAAAACAAATTAAATAAATATATTATATAGGGGAAATGACGGCTTCGGCATGACAGACTATTTTCGGCAACCCAAATTGAAACACTATTTTCACTGGATTTTCTTACGAAAACACTTCGCTGAATGCATGCAAACGATTCTTTATGCTTTCAGCTTCAATTTGACTATATTTTTACCACTGAGAAAAAGCAATCTAGCAGAGTTTTCTTGAAATGAAACACACGCACTACAAATTGTACCTGATTTCGAGTTGCCGATAATAGAACAGCAGATTTACATGCAGTTCAAATGGAATGGTTGCCGAAGAAAAACTGGGTGCCGACAATACTCGCTCTCACTAGAAAAGATTGGAGCTTTGTAAAAGCGTTTCAAATCAGTTTTTGACAATTCTTTCGACTGAAATTGTTAGAGCAGCTGGCAGCAAAAGATTGTAAACAAACCAATACTGCATATGTGTGCGTTCCATAGAGAAAAAGGCTATAGAAAGAAGGTCGCTGCTTAGGTTGCCGAGAATACGTAAATTCCCCTACATTTCTTTGACAAAACTGGTTTTATTTTTATGAAAATTCGAAGCAACGCATCCTTAATCAAAATTTAAAGCAGGATTTGAAGTGAAAACTGAGTGCTGCCCAAGAGAACCGGACTCCGTAATTACAACAGGTGGGTCGGTTTGTTTGACAGCGTTCGGTAATTCTTGAGTAAACCGATGTTCGGTTATTTCTGCTTAAATTTATTTTTCGTAAACCGAGATTTTCGGTAACTTTGACAGATTGTGGGTAACAAAAAGAACTAACGACAGCTCGGTTATTCCTATTTGAACCGAACAGACTACCGAGCGTTCAGCAGATAAAAACTCGGTTGAAATCAAACCGAGTTCGGTAATATTTTCTGTGTGTTTATATGGTTTTGACAGATGGGATCGCTGCAAATTTGAATCGGCCGTTATGGATTCTCGATCAAGAGTTAAGTTTAAGTTTCATGTTGGTTTGTCGGTGATTTGATTCTCTCCGTGCAGGCCCTAATAAAAATGCCATACACGGCGAGGGGCGATTCACTTGTGTATTTTCGATTCAGGCCAACGCAGGGGGAACAACACTCATTTGGATGCATTTTTTCACTTTAATCATTACTTGGGATTTTCGGGGAAAACATAATTGATGGGATTTTTTTGAGTGTGTGTTCTTGACGAAAATAGAGCAAGGATAGAAAAAAATAAATTGGAATGGATCATGGGATGGAATGGATGTGAGCGGTGTAAAAAAATTTCAGAGGGATACGAGTCTGAACGCGAAGAGGATAAGTCGAGTGCGTTTTGAATTGGTCGTATGTGATCAGGGAATCAAAATGAAAGATTCAGATAAAGATAATGGCATTCTCATTTTGGTTACACTCATGATTAGTACAAATCCATAAATCTCAATGGACAGTTCTGGAAACGATAATGCGATTATCATTTGTGTAACAGATCATGATCATATGAAATAGCGATAATCTCAGATCATCATCATCAGCTGTCGTCACTGAAAATTCCCCATTTAGGACAAGGTTAATCAAATACCCTATAATATGTGAATTTTTGGAATGAGGATGACGTATAGAGATCGAAAATCGATGTTTGCCGCCATTATGAAATCCAAGATGGTGGCCATCGATTTAAGAAAAACTGTCGAAAATTGATGTCCGCCACCATTTGGAAATCCAAGATTACCCTGCAATGTGGGTATTTTCGGAACAGGGGTGGCATGCAGATGTAGAAAATTAATATCTGCCGCTATTTGGGAATCCAAGATGGCGGCTATTGATTTTAGAAAATTGATGTCGGCCGCCATGTTGACTAGTTTATTTGTCGGTTCTATCTAAAACCAAAGGCCGCCAAATTGGATTCCATTGTCCGGGGAGGCTTT